GTCCACGAGAAAAGTAAGGTTCTAATTTCATAGCATATGCATGTTAAACCATTCACGTCACCCGTGTATCATACTATGATATGATGAAAATACCAAACGAATATAAAAGAGTATCCGAAATTACTTGTGTGGCTTGAAAGCACCGTTGTGATGAATGTTTTTTTTTAATTAATTGTACATTTGCAGCTTTATATTTGCGTGGTCTGGAGTATGGAGACAGCAGATTACGAGGTAGATGCTACGTAACCAGAAACTGTACATGCTACTCATGAACTCCTGATAGCGAAAAATTATTGTTAATTTTTGTTGTTAATGTTAACATGACAACAACGCCAGGACTTAAAGCTAAGCATGTTTATTCACCTACTGCTTCACTTTCATCTGTGTATGATCAGGCGATTGAGACGAGATTGCTGTTATTTATCGACGCCCACACAAAGTTGTTCTTTAGGAACTTAAACAAATATTATAGTAAAATGTTGAACTTTATTCCAACACAACGGTTACACAGACATCAAATGTTCATCGACCACTGTCGCCTTCTGGGGGGAGGGGGGTTAAGTCGGAGTGCTAACCTCCTAGTGGAATTCCCCGGGCAACGGCTGCTGCAATGACCCTGTGTTGCGATACCATCGGGGGTGGGGCGGGGAACTAGCAGGTCTACCTGCAGCGCCCCCTCCCGCCCCTGGCAGGTTCAACCATGGTAGGGCGATTCCCAGGGGAGCTGCTGCAGGCTAATAGCACCCGCAACTTTTCTTTTCCAGGATTTTCCTTCATTTATTTAATAACTATTTATTTATTTATTTCTGTCTTCTTTATACAGGGTAGACGCACTCAGTATAATACTGCTTTACAGGCGTGCCCTGTACAGATAGACATAAACACCAACAACAGTAAACAAAATAACACAAATAACATATATATATACACAACCGAGCATCAAAATCGATGGATCAGGCTGGGTCGAGAGGTCAGAGGTCAGCAATATTGTTTTATCAGCTTCTTGAAAGAGTGGCCAGATGTGACCACCCTAACTGTACCAGGCAACTCATTCCATGCAAATGCACCACTGTATGCAAATTTTCTACGGCCAGATTCCAGTTTAACTTTAGGTAGTTGTAATGATAAATACGAATTTTGCCTTGTTGCATAGGTGTGAGAAGTTCTATCAAATACTTGTAAGTACGCTGGTACCTGCTGATGGATTGACTTAAAGACAGTTTGCAGAAGGTGCATTTGCCGGCGGGATGTCAGGGAAATCCAACCTAGTGCAGACAGCTGCTCGTTATCTACATGTGATATTCGTGACAGACCGAGGACAATCCGTGCTGCACGGTTTTGGAGTTTCTGGAGATTGTCAGAGAGAGATTTCCCACAGTTGGCCCATACAGTGTCGCAGTATCTTCATCAGGATGAAGATATTGATATGAAATAGATATTGATGATAACGATGATAAGTTTATTGCAAATATTTGCCAGTGCATGGCTACCAGGAGTTATAAAACGATTAACAGTTATCATATTTCTAAAAAATGTATACACAACACAAAGAAAAACATAAAGCACCTTCGAAAATATCTCGTAGCTTTTATTGTCAACACGATTTTATACACGACAGTTCATAGTTACATATTCTATATTAAGCTTGGACATTGGCAGGAATTGTATTCTTATTTACAAACTTTATCAAACTATACTTTGTGTTGCCCTGGATTAGCCCATTGTCCGGTCCCATATTAACTGTATGCCAAACACTATATGATTATTAACATGCTCTTCTGTTCGTGTTATTGTTTTGTAATATTGCTTTATGGTAACAAAATTAAGTTCCGATTAGATAAGAACTAAATATTGCTTACATCCGTACAAATGATAAATGGAGGAAGGACTTTCGAGTTAGATAAATGGACTAGTACTGCAATCACAAATCTAACTAGAGGTCGGAGATCTCATGTCTTCGTCAGAGGTACATCGTTCTAGAGAAATTAACATGCGTATTCTTCACTCTTTTTAACAATCAATTTGTTCTAAAGAACAAAAGAATCTCTGTACTATTTTTATGGTACAGAACACCCTGAAACGGTTTGCCGCAGATTATACAGATGCGTCGTCACCCGTATTAGCCCCCCCCCCCTACGTTATTTGAGTTTGGACTGTTACTGGAAAAAAAACGTTCAAGAAATTCTTACTGTGTTGAAAGTGTCACGACAGCGCCGCAAAATATAATAAGAGAAGATGTTATAAAGGAAAGAATCAGAACAGGGTGACTACTGGCTGCTGTTTTGTTAATTTGTCTTTATGACAAATAGAAGACTTGTTTCTTGTGTTCTTTGTGTCCTAACATTTGTACTTCTACAGTTAGTATATTCCAAATCTAGGCATCTCGTTTTTCGGCCCTTCGTGTTTTTATTGCGCGCTTGCCTTAAATTTAAGGTAATTAGATTTAAGGTCTCCAGTGGACGTCATCCATAGCAATTACTTGGTGCGGCCGTAGAAAATAACCTGACATATGTCCAACCTATCCTCCCCCTGCTGAAGTTATAGTACAATCCCTCAATGTAACGTCATTTGATCCCATCCCATTATGGGGTTCCCCGGCTATATCCAGCTGTCGGCTGTCTCCAAGCAGATGTAGGTGGGGGATTTCTAAACACAAAAGGTCCTATTACGGGGACATAACGACCTCCACGACTCTCATCTTTGAACTCAATCTTGGAGACCACCACAGTAACATGCCTATCAAATTTCATTAACTTCCATCCACACATACAAAAGTTATCCTGCTCACAAGAAAAATTAACAAAATGCCCCCTGTAGTCACAACGAAACCCCCCACGAAGCTCAGTAACGAACTTAACCTTGGTCCTGACAATAGTAAGCACCACACCAAAAATTATAATCAACATTTTACAAATACTTGAGTTATCTTGCTAACAAGCCACAAACACAAAAGGTGCACTAACGTGACGCACGGACCCCCCACGAAGCCGAAACTTGTACTTGACTTCGGCCTCAACAGCGGTAATCTGCCTGCCAAAAAACATGGACGTCGAATCATGCCTTCCAGAGTTATATCGCAAAATCCGCAGTTCCACACACTCCGGCGAGACAATTTCATAGTCCTTCTGACGAAGACAAATATGTACCTGGTCGAATTTACTACAATGTAAAGCATATCAGATAGCCAACAGAAGAATGTGCTGCAGTGTACAATATATACTCGTGAAATACACAAATATTTCTGTATTGTTTTGTGGATTAGACTTCCCTGGCAATAAAATGTGAGAGAAGCTGACAACAGGGCAACATAACCCCTTTACATGGTCAGCTTTTCATGTCATGTCCTGCAGGACAATTTTTCTTACTCTGTCATTTGTCTGTTGGAGGCGTCTCCTCCAAAGCTTTCTTCAGTTTCAACCAATCGTAGGAGCCTATTGCATCACGTGACACATCCAGATACGTGATTGTGCGCAGAGAAGCCGGTACGTCACAGTTGTGAAGCATGATGGGAATGACGCGCCCGGTCTTGGACGTGAGACTTTCTACCAAGGCCTGTTCTGTCTCGTACTTACACCACTCACTGGTCACGAAGTTTGGCGTGAGGATCAACAGGGTCTTGTAGCTGTTCTCGATGCTGTAGATGATGTTGTCGAACACGCTCTTCCCGGGCATGAAGTCTCGGTCAGCTACACAACCTGGAAAATTAACAGTCGACATTACAATGTTTAGCCAGCTAGCTTAATCGATATATTGCATTATCAGGCCCATTTGTTAGCTTTTCCCACGCCTGTTATCATTGATCATAACCCCTTGTGTCAACATTTATTTGAGACCATGTATTGCCTCGGTGGAAAAGCACTATATCAGCATGAAAGTTCATATTGGGCCGAACATTAGCTGCATCAAGATGCACTCACGTTAGTAAGCAAAGGGGTAGCCATTAAGATACATGTATTAAGTGTCGAATACTAAGACATGTACCAAAGTTACACAGTGAAAAACAATGAAAGACTAGAAAGGTAACATTTGCAAAGCAAATGCATAATGTTTACCTTCGCATATGGTGTGCTCTGTTAATTCTTACTCAATCACATTCACATACTAGTATATGGTGACAGGAGTCTACATCCCTCCTGCTATAAAATTGCAACATTATGTACATGTAACCCTACACCAGTTACCATGGTTCTAGTCTAGTTCAGATCATTGACCGGGTCAGTGTTTGGAACGGAAGAAGAAGAAACAGAGCAAAAACAATATGTTTTCCTTCGGTAAACATAACAATAGGATAACCAAGTTGGGATAACTGCACACCTTTAAATCGCAAGTCCACCTCCAGCGCTGGTAGAAGTGCGAAGTTCACCCAGTCGGCGTCTTTGCTGCTGTGTGACACGAAGAAGTCGTACTGGAACTCATGGCCATGCCGCGGTTTCTCCACCGAAACTGGGATGTTCACGCGCATGTCTGGTTTGGACTGCGTGGATGTCATGTCATCTGCTCCAGATCCTCTATCATCATCTACACCCGGAAGTTTTCTTTCCATAGATGCTGCCGCTGTGCGGTGTCTCCAGTTGTTGTGTCTTTGAAAACATTGGAGACAAAGCCTGGCAAGCATGGGTTTGTCATGGTCAATAAGATACTGACATACCTGTATCATTTGACTTCCGAACTTGAAGACGCAACCTTGAATGATTTTCGTGATGTCCGGGTACTTCTTGTAGCCTTCGTTGATCCAGAAAGCTAATTCAGCGATGTAATGCTCTCTACCAGGGTCAGAGTCTGATCCATGGAGTTTCAGTAGGTTTCTCAGTACGCCAGTAAGGTTCCAGTTGAAGGTAGTTTCCTCGTTTTCAACTGCGCGCTTATAAGACTCTGCTGCCTTTTCTAGTTCTCCCGCAGCCTCTAGACTACGACCTCTGGCTGCATGTATCCTGGAATAGGCGAAACCGTTTTGTAACTGCAGTGCTTGGGCGAAGCTGTCAAGCGCATCGTCTAATTCATCCTTGACTTCCACTTCCTCTGTTATAGGATGGACAGCAAGCCTGTGGGAGACTTTACCAAGGTGGTAGACATTGAATGGCGTCATTGCACCCTCGCAGGATACAACTGCGTCTTCTTTGGCCCTTTGCAGTAAGTCTTTTGAGGGCAATGCTCCTCCTTTGCGGGACAGATTTACGAGTTGATCATATTCTAGCATGTTAATGAGAGACCTCTCGTGATATGCAAACCAATTACTTATACTGTCGGGCATTATGTCTATCGATTTGTCGAACATATCTCGAGCTTTGTTGTACATGCCAATTTGCACGTAGCCCCTCCCGAATCTACGATAGATCTCACTGTCATTTGGGTTTATTTCCAGCGCTTTTTCGAAGCAAATAAACTGTGGACCGATCTGACTTTCTTCTGTTAGAGAAACTTCTTCCTTAACGTAGTCTGGTGTTTCATAGCTTTTGAATTTATCTGTGCACTTACGAACCAGAGCTCCCAACAGAGCCCATGCTTTGGCGACATAAGACTCACTGTGTTTCCTACTGGGATTCATCTGGGTTACCTCTATCAACAGGCTTTGTGCTTTAAGTAGCACTTCCTTCTTGTCGTCTTCCGTCAGTTGCGTTTTATCCTGCCCGTGTGCATATTTCACTTGATCGAAGCGCCAGTAACAGAAACTCAAGTAGTATTTCCAAACAAGACACTCGTTGACCAACGTATCGGTGTCGCACACCAAGCTTAAGGCTGTTTCCAACAGACTGATTGCATGTCTCACCTTCGAAACCATGTCTTTGCTGTCGTCCCTTACATCAAATGTAAGAGCATAGGCCTGTTCGGGCAAAAACCAGCGGGCATTTCTTGCTCTGGCAGCATCCGATTGGTCTGACAACAGTTCCTGTAGGCGATCCCTACACGCCATCTCATCCTTTGCTCTCATCAGTTGGCTGTATATGAACTGTTTGTTGGCGATAGCGTTGAGGTTGTTCTCATCCTTCTCGGTGAGTTTCTCCAGCAGTTTCCGGGCCTCGCCTTTACCGCGTACTTTGTGGAACGCAAAAACACTCAGTAGGTTTGTCATGGCACTCTCCATCGGCCCCTTTTCCCGTTCCAATCTCCTTTTGAGCTCGTCATACCACGGCGTAACATCCTTCGTGTCCTTGATGAACAAGTCAAGGTGAAAGAAGCCAGGTGTGGGGACTGTAGCAAGAAGTCCCCCGGCAGCCATGTTTGCAGGTGTCCAGACTAGACGTTATCAAACTGTGTCGAGACTTTAACCTCTCCACTCAGATTGAGCAAACTGACTCAGCAAATGTCTTCCGACAACGGTCACACGGGTCAACGTTCTGAAAAAAACATGTGACTACCTGGGCAAACCATGACGTCACTGCTACCGAGCTGATGTACTAGTATTTCAATTTTCCATGTGACTACATTTAGAAAGGTGGTTGCTCATTGAAGGTTTTTATCAATCCTTTGCATCGCAGTCGTTAATGGTGGATGCTAGATCTATTGTTAGTATCAAAACCGCCACGTGGCCTTGCCTAACAACTTTTGCACGATTGAGGATCATCTCCTTAATTATCCTTTTATTTGCAAATTCATGCCCGATTAATTGTATGTACAGTGTCAAAGGCAGCTCAACGTTAAGTACAATGTAATAGAGAACATAATACTACTCCCCTGGCCAGTTTTAGGACAATTTATACTATATATTCAGCCTGCAAAGGTGTCTTGTGGAGACTACACAAACGCGGGGAAAGACAGTTGATTTCGTAGGCCGAGGGCATAACAGACCCAGGTGCGACATTGTTTTTCCAAGGACAGTTTACAAGTAAACGTCCTTCGTTTCTCATTCTTGACTTGATCCGATAATTTGCTGTCCTATGATCTGCCCCAGAGCGTCGGTATTTGACCGCAGTCCTACCAAACATCCGGTCTGAGACGGGTCGGACATTCGTTAGCTTCTTGAAGAATAGTCACCATGCGGTGAGTACGACTGAGTATTACGACTGGTGTTTACATTAGTTTTACACGACTTGCAGGCGGTGGTGAATACGATCTACGGGGTAATTGGTCAGTTAGAACCATGGTTGGTAGTGCAAAAATGGGCAGTGAGCTCGCACAAGCGGCTGGCACACACTGCCTCGGAGTGGGACTGAGGAAAAGCTGATTTAAGAAGTTAGATAGTCTTTTTGCACATGTCAAGAAGCAAATGGATCACCTTCTTACTAAGGGTGCACAGACACCCGCGGTCTAGATCTGTCCACACAGAACTCCTGGTGATACTGTTTACCATCGCTCTGCGATTCCGGATCCAGCGTAATCCATTTTCAAATTAGTGAACCACCTTCATTCATTCAAAAATCAAAGGACTTCTTGCTAGGATTTTTCAGACTGCGTGACTAGTCCTTGATATGCTTTTTGCGGATTTTCTTAGGCGAACTTGTTTTATTTTAGGAACATTTTTAACGCATTGTACATTGTATGCATGCCAGTACAGTAGATCTATGTAGATATGGTGTGTGATGATCAAGTTTACCATGGATGCATTTGGTCTGGAGTTACCCTAGATTTGTAACAAATGTTAGGGTATGCATATGTCCAAGTGACTATAGGTAAAAATCTGAAAACATTGGCTACATAAATGACAGCAATATCCTTTTGGACAAGTCAAGCTCTCTACCCTGGGTGCCACCCGATTTGCTGCGGAGCTCCGTGCACCCGCTTGTCCGTAGAAAATCGGATGACACCCGGGCAACATAGTCATGCTTGACTTGATGGGATGATTTGCTATCTTATAATCAGCCTTATCTAAGTGCAGTGTTATCTAAGTGCAGTGTAGAGAATTCAGGCAGATAACCTGTTAACAGTGAAAGGTGTGGTGACCCTGTCCTCACGTCACCGCGTGTCACGGGCCCTAGCCTGGTCACTCACTACGTGGAAGCTCATTTCATTATGAACATTGCAGACTTCTTAGGGTCTTTTTGACTGCTATCTTTTACTAAAGACAAAATGTTTTCTCTATGCTCCAGCACTCTGTGTTAGTAAGTCAGTCATTAAAACACGACATTGATCAGAAAATAAACTGAGCCAAACAGGAGACGATCATAGATCTGCCTGTTTGGAGGCTATCCTTAAAGGCAATCCTACCGAACGGATTGCCTGAGACTGTCGGACATTCGGTAGCTTATTGAAGAATTGACACCTTGCGGTGATTACAACTGAGTATTTATCTGGGTGTTGTTCCAGACGCTAGCTTTCACAAAACACGCGGTTGTGAAAAAGGTTTGCGGGGTATTTGATCAGTTAGAACCGTAGTTGGTGATGCCAAAAATAGGCAGTGAGCTCGCAGAAGTGGCTGGAACACACTGCCTCGGAGTGGGTCTGAGAAAACTCTGATTTCAGTTAGGATGTCTTTTCGCAAATGTCGTGAAGTAAGAATCTCAAATGGTTGTACCATCTACGCAAAAAAAACAAAGTCAATCAAGCAAATGGATATGATTCAGACGTTTCAGGTAGCACCCACTATTTGTCGTCAGTGACTGAGAGACTAGAGGAGAAATGCAGGTTTATAAGAACAAACTATTGATTGATATGCAAATGAAGTGAAGACAATAAAGATTAACATAATTTAACGAAGGTATGAGATCGTGGAACTCTAGTTGATGATGTGTTTCTTTAATTCAAATGACAATCTTTCTTTCCGCTTTAGTGTCCTCATCGGCCTCCTACTTGGTCTCCTCCTTGTTCTCTATGTGGCTCCTGTCAGAGGAAAGAAAGTTACAAGTACGTCTGGGAGATTCTGATACGGTTATATTTGAAGTCGATAATATGTCAACTACTTGAGCAAACTAACTGGGTAACAGTTAATGTTGAAGGTTTGCTTTGCGCACCCTTAAGTTTGTTTTGAACACCGCCGCATGTCTGATTTTCTGTAAATATGACATGTTTACGTGTTTTATGTCTTTAATATATGGAGTTCAAGTACTCAAGAGAGGCATGTTCGTGTGCTGAGTAAAGAGGCTCTTTTTACACAACCAAGTGTTTTATTCACAGCCGACGTTTCGGTGACCGCCTTCCGTCGCTGCTATAGATGCATTCCCAAACGTTATATTACAATATTTGCATACTAGTATCTACACATATACGTGGTTTATACAGGGAATTGTATCTACAATGCGGTCCCAAACGTACAGGAGTTGGATATATTACATAATTGTGACCAGTTATTAAACAAAGGCAGTTACGGAGAATAGATTCCAGAATGCAGTTCCAAACGTACAGGCGTGTAATAGGTATATTCTGTAATATGTATATATATGTATATCATGCATATGTAGAAACTCCTGTACGTTTGGGACCGCACTATAGATACAGTTCCCTGTAACCACGTCTATATGTTGAATATTGTACATTTGGGAATGCACACCTGTGCTGCGGGCCACAAGGGCAATGTGAACGTCGCGAATTTCCCAGAGAAAGGTGACAGTCACCGAGACGTCGGCTGTGAATAAAACACTTGGTTGTGTAAAAAAAGAGTCTTTACTCAGTATATACCAACCTGATGAAACTACTGACGGGTGTCCGTGTGCTATCTTGCAGAAAGGTGCAAGCCTTTGACGTTCCCAGACACGGTCAGAAGTTGCAACCAGGCGCCAAACGCAGAAGGGTGGTACCGAGATGGAACCGTGTGCAACTTTGCCTGCAGAAGCGGATGTGTAAAGGACACAGGGGGCACAAGGAGGGTGTGCAAGGTCAAGGGCAGGTCAAAATGGTGGACTGGAGGACGCGGACTCAAGTGTCTATGTAAGTGGACGGATTTAGGATACATGCCACTAGAACAGTCTGGGCGTACGAAACAATTCATATTCCAGTGGTTTCTCATTTTTTTATTACACAAATTGCGCTTGTATGCTTTCATGGTAATAATCTACTAAATAAAGCGTTCAATTGTTATCAATATATTCTGTCAACGAGCTTAATACACATTGTGTACGCACTTTTCTTTGCAACCTATCATTTATCTTATGTCCAGGCCGCCCATGTGCTGGCGCACCCAGCCACTCCGAAGGTTACACCAGTGATTGCGGTGCAGGCACCTACCCAGCCGGCCACACATGTGTCTTCACCTGCCCGGCCGGGTATGTCAAGGTGTCCGGTAACGAGAGGAAACTCTGCGTGAACGGCCGCTGGAGGGGACAAGACCTAGTGTGTAAAGGTAACTCCTTTTACTCCTTACCGAAATTTTGTTAATGTCTAATGGTTTTTAAAAAAACGCAAACGGTAGTGAAGTAAAATAAAGAACTATGAAATGTACAGTTATATCTCCACCAAACTTCTACATGGCAACATTATTAAATTCTCATCGTTATCCTTTGAAATTTAGAATTTTGCTTCAAAAGTACTTGAAAGTCGTTTGAGAGACAAACGGATGTAGCTCTAATCCGTGTGCAAATGGTGCGACTTGCGAGGACGAGGTCGACGGCTACACCTGTACCTGTGCTCCTGGCTATGCAGGAGATCAGTGTGAAACGCGTAGGTTATAGCTGTCTTACTGTACAGCGAGATTCTAGATGTAGCTAATTATACTTTTTGTTCTTTTGTGGCGTCGGTGGTGCAACGGTTAGAGCGTTGGACTCGGAATTAATAGGTCCCGGGTTCGATACTCACCGTGGCCTGACGTTGTGCCCTTGGTAAAGGCACTTTACACGACTTCCCCACCTGTACGGTGGAGTGACGCCCGCCGAGCCTTGTCTTAGGTTAATCTGTCAAAATGTGTGCCAAAAACACCCTACGGATTTGGTACGCCAATGTGTCAACATCAGCACATTTGCCACCGAGAGCCGTATTTTTTATTTTTTTATTTATTTTGTTCTTTTCTATAAAGGTCCTGCTTGGCTGGAGCGATCCCCTGATTGGCCGATTGAGAGGACAGAAACAAACTGGCCTGATGCTGCCGACGCGGACAAAGTTCTTGATGGTAGATATTCTTCTCACTGGAACCCAAGGGGTCGAGGCGGCCCGTGGTACATCATATTCGACCTTGTTGTGCCCTACACTCTTTTCAAGATCCGCATTACCAACTACGGAGATAGAACCCATGATGTTTCAATGTTCCTGCTCGAAGCGTCGGCCAGTTCTGACCCGTACAGCTGGGAAGACGTGGTGACAGTGACAGAAGTGGCAGCTTCATCCGAGATCCAGGAATTTGGAGGATTCACCGCCACTGGACGATTCTGGAAACTCAACATCACAAACACACATGGGACGTGGCAGCCATGGTTACGTGAAATGAACTTC